GCCACACCTGTTTGATGTGGGCTGCAAAAACAACATTGAAAATCATATACCATGGTAGACTTCTGACCGCGTGGACAATCGCAGTAGGTGCAATGTCCCCTGTAGTGATGTGCGGGCCCGGCTTGGGCTCAAAGCCCGGGCTTGGGCTTGTGACGACGTCGAGCCGAGCCCTGAGCCCGAGCCGAGCCCCGAGCCCGGCCCAAGCCTTGGGCTTAAGCCCGGGCTTGCTCACAATACAACGAGTGTTCCGGTGCTATACGAAAAGGGAATGTTAGTTTGGGTGTAGTAGATTAATACTGCATGTACTCACTAAATTATAACCTCCAGAAGATCTACATCTGCGGAACAAGTCGAGTCGCAGCGAAGTCCACGAGCGTGCGCCTACGGCAGGCACCAGATGGTGACGCACAATCGTGCTCGGTGGGAGCTGTTACATCTAGAATATCTGCATTTTGTCTTCTATGTGCATATTAGGTCGCTCTCTCCTCATTCTGAACTTAGGGAACGGTAACGGAGCCAGCACACCCAAGCCTGGGCTTCCAGGCCGGGCTTGGGCTTGACTACGCTCCGAGCCCGGCCTTGAGCCTGCTGCCGGGCTTGACTCGGGCCAGGCTTTTTGGGCCGGGCTTGGCGGGCTTGGAGGCTTTGAGGCCTGGCCCGCACATCACTAGTATCAGTGAGTTTGTTGTCTGATTGAAGCTTATGGCTGTTAATAATTGCTCTCTGCTTGCTGCAGGTTGTTCCAGTTAAGCTCAAGGACACATCCTGTGAGAGCAAGACTGTGGTCAACCTGCTCTCCCACGTTTGAAGGAAGTTTGCTGAAGCAGAGCGGTATTGGAAGATCAAGCTTGTAGCACTTGTGTCAGATAACAGCGGTGAGTCATTATCAATGTGGAAAATGCTGCGACTTGAAAGGCCAGATCTCATTGTCCTCCAATGCTACGCTCACCAGGTCAACCTTGTAGTGGGCAATTACTTCAAAAAATCTGGCGCACAGTTCCTTGACACATCTGCTGATGCCAATAAGGTCATCATGTGGCTTCACAGCAAGACTCAAGTGCTTGCGATGATCAAGGAGGTTCAAAAGGAGGGGAGCATCTTTTGTCCACTAACTGTAATCTGTGCAGTCATCACTTGCTGGACCACACACTATCTCACTTATTGGCGCCTTCTTGATCTCAAGGACTGTATCACCACCGTTGTTGCACAGGACAAGCTGTGACAACAATCCGGCAAAGAAAGTCAGCTGATAAAGGGTGACGCAGACGTACAGGTGAAGGCTACCGAGATTCTCACGATCCTTGATAAAGCTATCTTTTGGCACTAGCTCACATGGTATGTTGCAGGATTTCTTATCAATGATAAGCCTCACTGACACTGCTAGAGCATCAAACTCCATCTCACACCCCTTGCCCTGGCTGCTAATATTCTCCAGTCTGCATGGAGTTGCCTTGATCTCATTGCCCTTGTATTTGGCGCTCTTTTTATCAGATTCACTAACTTTGCAAAGGAACCTGGTGTTGATGCTGATGAAGAGGGCATTAGCCGAGCCGTTTGCAAGAGTCTAAACAGACAGTGGAAGGATAGCAACCAAGACATACTCCTAGCTGCTGTTATTTTGAATCCATTGATGAAGGTGGTGCCCCTTAAGAACTTTAGGATGATTGACATCATGAAGCTCTTAGTTTGTGTATAAAGACGCCTGTTCTCCTCGCCAGCAGTTCCAGAGGGCTTCTATGATGAGGTCAGGAAGTACATGATGAATACGGGCATTTATTTGGGTATGGAGAGTATGGCCAGAGAAAAGAGCCAGAGAGCCATGAGTGCCTCAGAATCAGTGAGTCCACATTTTGCCCTCTACACAAAAAATATAAGCACTATGGCAGCATCTACCAGCGGTACCTCTGGACGTCTGGACCCTTTTTCGGACACTGGACGGCACCGTGTCCCCCTTGCACCGTCTCACCAAGCAGATTTTCTCTGTCCAAATGCCAGACTGGTCGAACACTTTTTCAGCTTGTTGAAGCGAATACTCAGCCTCGCTCGCTCGCGCCTCACTGGTACAAATGCCATGAATACCGCAGAGCTCAACATGCTTATTCAACATGAGCATGAGTCAAGCGAAACCATGATTGAATGCCTACAGCGGCAAGAGCGCCACTTTATTGATTGTACTGCGCTATTGGCAGCTCTCTCTATTTCTCCAACTCCACTTGCACTCCCTGCACCAGTGCCAACGGCCATATCGGCACAATGCCAGCCATTTCAGGGTCTTCTGCTCATCGATGAGGCTACAGCAGCTCTATTCACACCTCACCCCTGTTCCGCCATGATGTCTTCCACTGCGTCCATTCCTAGCACAATGCCGGCAGCCAAATCTGCAGACACCTACATCAATGACAGCTCGCCAAACCAGCCACATGACGAGTCCAATTGTATCATTTGGGAGATAGCCTGAGCGATGGCGCAGGTGGCAGAGTCTGAGACAGCAACCAAAGATTTCTCACTTGCCACAGCTAATACAGATGACCAACGCCCTTACCGGCTGGCTCTCAAAGCAGTATTTGACTTTAATAGCGCATATTGGGCTGATACCTTGGAGAGGCAAGGTTTGCATAGCTTAGATGAGAAGATGGAGGTCTATCAGCTGTTTGATCTAGATACAGAGGGAGAAGTTAACTTTGATGAGCTTCATAATTGTATTTAGCATAGGTTTACATATGCACAATAGCTACAGACTCTTTGAATTCATTGTGATGACACCTTGTCTCGCCTTCTCGACAACTTCTGCATTCTGATTGGTCCTCAGCAGTTCCTGACATCAGGACCCGAGACCACTTAGCTACGGTTCATTTAGTCAGGTCATTAACTACTTAACTAGTTATTTACTGGTCATTGACTAGTCATCAACTCACGCAACACTGGGGCACACTCCTCCTTTGGTAAAACTACTCAGTAGGAAATGTCAGAAGAGACTCTGCCTACAATTCCTATTTAGCAGAACCTTTGTAAATGGCATTGTCATCGAGCTATTAGGAAAAAAGTGGTCTCAGCAGAAAACACATTTTTCAGCCAAACCAGCCAAATTGGCAAGATTTTGTGTTAACGAGAGGTCAGATTTTAAGCGCTTTTAGTCATGTGATTTACCATGTGAGATAGTGTTGCCACGGCTTGACTGCTTAGCCGCTAGTCGTTGCAGTCAAGCCATGTGGCAGCCAAGCCAAGTCGCTGATTGGCTCTTGGCTGTTACGCGGCTTAACTGTGGCTTAGCATGACTCGGCGGTGGCTTGCAGTCAGGTCCAGTTGTCCCAAAAAGGCAAACACTGCGTCACCTTGCTTGCCACTATGCCTCCTCACAACCATGGAAAGAAGAGAGCTGCCGAGACCCTTCAGAAGACATCTAAGAGGCAAAAGGTGGCCTCTAAGCATGTTGAGTTTGACAATGGAGCTGTTATGACCCAGTTTAGGCTGTCTGGTGCGCTTTTTTTGAGCTTTTGTGCAGTTTGATGTTGTCTGCTGATAACATCTTGAATTCTGTAGGTGAATTCTCATCTGAGGATGCTGTCCAAGGTTCCCCAGCAAAGAAGAGAGGTGGTAGGAAAGGTCCAGGAGTTCAGAATGTTGCTGAAAGAGAGGTGCTCATGGCATTTGCGTCGCCCCGGAGAGGTCGTGCCAATCACCAGCACGATCCAAGTGGGGAGGGCTCGATAGACAAGTGCGTGGTGACCAATACTGCAAATTGCTATGCTCTAATGTTTGGATCTTTGTAGATCTGTTCCAGTTGCTGATAGTCGTGAATACATCAACATTGATATTGCAGACGACTCTGAAGACTCGCCTACTAGTCCAACGCCAGCTGCAGGCTCTTCACGTGATCTCCTGCCTGCTCCTGCCACCCCAACTCGCAAGCCAGCAGGTCCTCCCAATTCACCTGTTGCCGGTCAGCGTCAGAAATTGCCTCATGAGCCTGCAGGCAACAGACAAGGCAAGCAAGCTAAGGATGTCTGACCCTTTATCGAGACAGATGAGAATGGATGCAAGAAATGCAAGTTTTGCTTGTATGAATTTCTTTCAGCTATTTCTTTGCACTTATTTCTAAAAAAAACTCGCCAGGTTTATGCATGAACAGAATCCTCATCACCATGTGTCCACCTGGACTACTGCAGGCACAGACAACCCCCGAAAGCACTTCCGAAATGCTCATCTTGATGAGTGAGTGGAGGCGTGCGATAATGCGCAAGTCAAAATCACAGCGAAGTGTGCTACGGCACAAGTCGAAGCCTGGAGGCGACGTCAACGTGGACAACCAGATGTTGCACAAGCAGATAACAGCCGGCCACAGTTCACCAAGGAGCTATTTGTGGATTACATTACTGAGTGGATTGTTGCTGACAATCAGGTGTGCTTTAAATTTACATTTTATTGTGCTTTAAATCTGAATAAATATTTGCAGCCTTTACGTGTCATTGAAAATCCACAGCTTCGCAATATCTTTCTTTTGCTTCATTCTGAGCTGCATGAGAAAGATATTCCTGGGCGGACCACTATCCGAACACGAGTTGGTGAGGTTTTTGAAGAGTATCTCAAGAAGCTTAGCCAGGATATAAAGGTAAGTGGCGAAAAAATTACAAAAAAATTCTGCTCTAATTCCTAATTATAGAATGCAGTTGGCAGCATATCCTTCACAATGGATATGTGGACTGACCCATTCTTATTGCCGTTATCGTGCATCAAAATGGTTTGACACAGAATATGATACATACCAGATCAGTTTCTATGTGTCAGCTATTCTCATGCATGGCAACAGTGTCTTGGAACATATGACAGCAGGCTGATACATCTGGGGACTACTAGAAACATGCAATAAACTTGTTACGTGTTTTATATATAGGCCAAACATGTGTCAGATTTGTTGGGGCAGCTGTTACAGGTAGCAGGGCAAATTATTGGGGCAACTGTGTATTTTTAGAAGATTCCATGAAGCTGCAGGAATATGGAAGAATAGTGTAGAATAATATAGAATACTCTAGAATAGGCCAAAGTAGACCAAAGGATGGGGCTTCCAAAAGCTATATAAGGACCCCTAATCCACCCCCAAAATACAAGCAACTTTGAGAGCAAGAGTCTCGTCTGTGTGTGCCCAGGTAGAAAGTGCAATCAGGCGCTTTCTTCAGTATAAGGTAGTAAGGCTTGGCAAATAGGTGCCAGCTTATACCTTAGGTTTGTTTTCTGTTATTCAAGGTGTTGCAGGTAGACAATCAGGTCTATCTTTTGAAGTAACATCTTCTGTGTTAGTGCTTACTCTTGTACCACCCGTCTTTGTTTAGGTGTTAACAACTCAGTGCTGCCTTTTAGATATCTCTCCTGTGCTAGCAGTCTTATACAAGTGAGACGGCTACCCCTTACGCGAATACGTGTCTCCCCTTATTCCCTGCCTACACAACTTATTCTAGTGG